AAAAAAAAAAGATGTATTATAAACAGTGTAACATCAATGTATCTACTTTTATAGGCATACCTGTATATGTAAAAATAGTGTACCCACAAACACTGGCTTGTCTGGCGTATCTTAAAAAAACAACAAAAAAATACCTCTTTGCCTTCTTGTTAACTTTATCTGACGCTGGTTTTTTTTTCAGAGTTTCAGGCTCAACTTCCATCATCATTATCTCGGGACCCCATGACAGCTCCATGTTACATAGAGATAGCTTCTTTTGTTGTTGCTGGAGTCGATCAGCATTGTGGAGAGTTGCTTCAGGCAATGGTGCAATAGGTGCTATGCACAGGGTGGGCTAGCCTGTCAGCATTAGTAACTTGGAAATGGATGGACAGGGATTAGGACAGGCTGCAGATACTGTGCAGACAAGGAGTACAATGTTCAATTGACCATTTAAACGCTATATCCAACTGCTTAGGTTTCCAGAAGCGCCACAAGGACAGATAAATTAGCATCATGTTGACAATTTTGTCACACTTTCACTCAATTTAGCTACCTATCATCCCATCACAAGGACAACCCAGCACACAGACACAATCCCATCACCAAATGTGACTCCTCCTAATTTACCCAATTTGTACTACATGTGACTTTAATACAGGAGCAGACTCACAACCTAGCCCACAGAGCCCAATTACAAGGTCCCTGCATTTCAATACCTACACCTCAGTCTGATAAAAGCTATACATTAATATATCGGTCTAGCGGTGATGTTGCTGACTTTGTGGGTCATTATGGCTTTTGGTTCAATAAAAATTCAGTTTACTGTAACAAATTTATTGCTGAGATACATTTTCAGCCCTCAGGGGACCGATTTGGCCTGAAACTGCTGCACTTCTTCAGATATTGCTGCGAACAAATGAAAACTACTCATAATGAAGTCCCTGTTTTACTGTGGTACAAGTAGCAATAATGACAACAAAACAGCTAAAACAATTTGATTACAAAAAATGAAATAATCCACTCTGCATATTATTTGAACTCTAGTGTAGTAATAACACTATTATGAGAAAACAACACTGAACTGATTATAGAAGCTATATTTCATTTCTTAATGGAAAATCCATTTGGAAGTAATCTACTGGGTAAAAAGTTAAGTGTTCAGAGGAATCGTTGGTGGTTTGTAGGCTTGGCCACACTGTTGAATAAGTTTTATCT